CTGAGTTAGGAATGACTCTGTTAAACCTGTACCTTTCTCTGATGAGTACACATTTGCAAGAGCATCAACATGGTGAACAATGTCAGTGTTACCGTCACAAACTCTGTCAAAAGGCAAAGAACCTTGGAGTGTTTCAACAGCTAATCCAGATTCAAATTCAAGAACGACTTGGTCGCTAGCATCAGGCACTTTGATTATTCTGGAAATTTTACCATATTGCTTCAAATATTCAAAAACCTCATTGTCAACCTCAGTTTCTGTTAAACCCCTTATAAGAAGAGAGTTAGGCACTTTCACACTAGCTAGTGTAACAATTTCCATTGTAATCAAAACAAAACACAACACTTAAAGGCAATAGTCAAAAAGAGAAAAAATACAAAAAATTGTGGCGATTGCACTTAAAATAAACACTCCTGGCTGGCTCGCCAAGTTTTACCGTGTAACCCACTACTGAGTATGTACACGTCACTGTTGGACCAGTTTCTAATAACTAGAAAACAAGAGACACTAAGCTCTGCAAGACAAGTGCAATTAAAAGACACCACACAAGGATATAAGGTTTTTCTTCTTTTAGTAATGAATTGAAAAGATAGAATTGTTTACAAATGAAAATTAGACCTTTTTAAATAAAATAGAAAGTAAATTGTCCTTCAAAAAGATTGAGAAAATAGTCCTTTATCCAAAAGTGGAAAAATAAAGAGTTCCTTTAAGTTGTTGTTCAAAAAGAAAAAATAGTTCCTTTCAAGTAGTTCAGTTGGTTCAGTTCAGAACAGTTCAATCCTTGGTTCAGTTGTAAAGTGTCAATTCAAGCAGTCAATAAGTCAAGTCAGTCATAGTCAGTATGATGTGACTCTAGTAGGCCACAATCCTACCAGATATGCCATGTGCAATGACATAGAACAGGATCACACTCAATGGTTGGGTTGGCTCGCCATCAGATGTAGTCGACGAATCCTCAGCGAAATCCAGATCCAGCTCAAAAACTTGACCTGTGTAACCATACCCTAAGTTAAGCTACACATTCAGGCAACTTTCAGTTTCAGTTTTCTATCACATATCAAACAGTTTCAATTTCAAGTAGTTGTACAACATTTAAATCAATATTCTCAAAAGAAAAGCTATGCAAACTGCATACACTTTGTTCATACTGAAAAGCATTGCATACCATTCAGTTAAATTACCATTATCAAGTAAACAGGATGAATACTATGAAATATACTGAAATCGCGGTAACCTTGCACAAACATTACCGAGTACAGCGGCTATCATGAAAACACGTTCAGCTCTCTCACCTCTCACGCGCTGAGTGCGAGATCACTGCATGTGCAATACGTTCAGCTCATACCGAGCTTAAAGCTACTTATTTCAACCAAAATACACTTTCAGAATCATTACAACACGTATTAACAAACAAAATACAATTCTTAGGTTTCACTGAAGTATTTAGCACTGATAAGCATCATAAGACTTAGGTTTCAGCAGTTCAGCAGAAAGATAGAAAAGTTCTCTTACCGAGACGATTCAAACAAAAAGAAAAACATTCGATGAAACAAAGCTTCTGGTCTTCAAAACATACAGCAACATACAGCGCTGGTCACTCAATACTCCAAAAAGGAAACTTATAGTTCAAAACAACTTAGAATTACTTTCTTTCAATAGTTTCTATCTCCGAGGAAAATGGATGCTTCTGCTCTCTGGCTCCCGCTAGCTCAAAAGACAGAACGGCTCCACAGGAAACCGTATGCCTGGAAAACGTACGTCAAAATAAAAGCACACATACGTAAGAGTCACAGTAAAAGTACTGCTATATCAAATACATGTAAATCATGTTTTTAACAATGACAACCCATCATTCATGAATTGTTTCATCAGAATTACACCTGTTTATTATCCCTTTTTACTATTTATGCTTTTTATCACTATTTATTGTACTTTCTTATTATGCATTTGTCACCTGGGTTACAGTAAGGTTTAAGGTTTTTGGCGTGAGGGTTAAAATCACTGTCCAAAACCTTTGTAGGAACTCTTTTCCAACCTTTTGGAGGTAGTTAGACCCCAAAAAAAGGAAAATAAAAAAAATATATTTGGGGTGTTCGGGCTTCCTGAAGGTAATACCTGGGTATTAGGTTATGGGGCTAGGGTGAGGTTTAAGGTTTTTGGCGTTAGGGTGAAAATCACTGTCCAAAACCTTTGTAGGAACAAGTTTCAGACCTTTTGTAGTTAGTTACACCAAAAAAAATGAAAAAAAAATATTTGGGGTGTTCGGGCTCCCTCAATGTAATATTAGTATATATTAGTATTATATATTAGTATTAGGTTATGGGGCTTTGGAAAGGTTTAAGATTTTTGGCATTAGGGTTTAAATCACTGTCCAAAACCTTTGTAGGAACTCTTTTCCAACCTTTTGGAGTTAGTTAGACCAAAAAAAAAAAGAAAAAAGGAAAAAAATATTTGGGGTGTTCGGGCTTCCTGAAGGTAATACTAGGTATTAGGTTATGGGGCTAGGGGAAGGTTTAAGGTTTTTGGCGTGAAGGTTAAAATCACTGTCCAAAACCTTTGTAGGAATTCTTTTCCAACCTTTTGGAGTTAGTTAGACCAAAAAAAAAAGAAAAAAGAAAAGTATATATTTGGGGTTTTCGGGCTTACTGAAAGTAATAACCGGGTATTAGGTTTTCGTGCTAGGGTAAGGTTTAAGGTTTTTGGCATTATGGTTAAAATCATTGTTTAAAACCTTTGTAGGAAAAAGTTTCAGACCTTTTGGAGTTAGTTACACAAAAAAAATGAAAAATAAAAAAAAATATTTGGGGTGTTCGGGCTTCCTGAAGGTAATACCCGGGTATTAGGTTTTGGGGCTTTGGTAAGGTTTAAGGTTTTTGGCGTTAGGGTTAAAATCACTGTCCAAAACCTTTGTAGAAACTCTTTTCCAACCTTTTGGAGTAAGTTAGACCCAAAAAAAAAAAAAGAAAAAAACAAATATTTGGGGTTTTCGGGCTTCCTGAAGGTAATACCCGGGTATTAGGTTATGGGGCTAGGGAAAGGTTTAAGGTTTTTGGCTTTAGGGCTAAAATCACTGTCCAAAACCTTTGTAGTAACATATTTCTAACCTTTTGGAGTTAGTTACACCAAAAAAAAAAAAATGTAAAATGAAAAAGAAATATTTGGGGTTTTCGGGCTTCCAGAAAGTAATACCCGGGTATTAGGTTATGGGGCTATGGGAATAAAATATATTATAATATATAATAATATATTTGGGGTTTTCGGGCTTCCTGAAGGTAATAACCGGGTATTAGGTTTTCGGGCTAGGGTAAGGTTTAAGGTTTTTGGCATTATGGTTAAAATCACTGTCCAAAACCTTTGTGGGAAAAAGTTTCAGACCTTTTGGAGTTAGGTACATAAAAAAAAATGAAAAATGAAAAAAATATATTTGGGGTGTTCGGGCTTCCTGAAGGTAATACCCGGGTATTAGGTTATGGGGCTATGGAAAGGTTTAAGGTTTTTGGCGTGAAGGTTAAAATCACTGTCCAAAACCTTTGTAGGAACTCTTTTCCAAGCTTTTGGAGTTAGTTACACCAAAAAAAGTAAAATGAAAAAAATATATTTGGGGTGTTCGGGCTTCCTGAAGGTAATACCCGGGTATTAGGTTATGGGGCTATGGTAAGGTTTAAGGTTTTTGGCGTTAGGGTTAAAATCACTGTCCAAAACCTTTGTAGGAACTCTTTTCCAAGCTTTTGGAGTTAGTTAAACCAAAAAAAATGAAAAATGAAAAAAATATTTGGGGTGTTCAGGCTTCCTTAAAGTAATACCCGGGTATTAGGTTAGGGGCTAGGGTCAGGTTTAAGGTTTTTGGCGTTAGGGTTAAAATCATTGTCCAAAACCTTTTTAGGAACATGTTTCAGACCTTTTGGAGTTAGTTACACCAAAAAAAATAAAAGATGAAAAATAAATATTTGGGGTGTTCGGGCTTTCTGAAAGTAATACCCGGGTATTAGGTTATGGGGCTATGGTACAGGTTTAAGGTTTTTGGCGTTAGGGTTAAAATCACTGTCCAAAACCTTTGTAGGAACTCTTTTCCAACCTTTTGGAGTAAGTTAGACCAAAAAAAATGAAAAATGAAAAAATAATATTTGAGGTTTTTGGGCTTCCTGAAGGTAATCCCCGGCTATTAGGTTATGGTTAACTTCTCCCCTTCCTCCTCCATCTTGCACACTTGTCTCAACCACTTCAACTGCCTTCCTCCTAGAACTCCAGTCCCTGTCTGTCACAGAAACAGGGGTGAGGTTGGAGCTTGTAAGACATTGCCCTGGGAAGGCAGTTCGTCCAGATGGTGTGTGTCCAAGGCTGCTTTGAGACTGTGCTGCAGAACTGTTTCAACCTCTCCACAAGATTTTCAACCAGAGTCTACAGCTGGGGCGGGAACCTACTCTGTGGAAAACATCCTGCATTGTGCCAGTACCAAAAACAAACAAAAAAATATCCTGTTGAACTCAATGACTACAGACCAGTGGCCCTCACTTCACACATCATGAAAACCCTGGAGTAGCTGATTCCACGCCTTCTGAGGTCTGAGGTCAGAGACAAACTGGATTCCCTGCAGTTTGCATACAAAGAACACATTAGAGTGGAAGATGCTGTCCTCTACATGCTTCGCCGTGCCCTGTCTCATCTGGAGGAGCCTGGGGTTTATGTGAGGATCATGTTCTTTGACTTTTCAAGTGCATTCAACACCATCCAACCCACCATAATCAAAGACAAGCTTACAGAGATGGGAGTGGATCTTTCCTCTGTTTCCTGGATCACAGATTACCTTACCAGAAAGACAGAAAGATTCGAAAGATCTTTTGTACCAACAGCCATCAGACTGTATAACTCTTCTCATTTAACACCCATCAGGCCGAGGGAGCCCTGGTCAGTGGTGACCGGGGGCGCTTCGGCTTGCTCACATCCTGCTCCTCCACCTCAGGATCTGCTGTTTGAGAACAGGTTTGACATCCTGAGCCTGCATGACTTTCCTCCCATGGATGCCTGGTCCCCCTCCATCCATCCAGCTGGACGTGGCTTTAACCAGTGCAAGAGCCGGGTCCCGCCCCCGCCAGACCAGCCTGACCCCTCTCCAGCGTCCCGGTCAGATACGGCCGCAGCAACAACCTGGGTGCCTAGCCTCGGACTGCCCTCGCGATGGGCAACCCACGGCGCCACACATACAGCAGGCCTCGTCCGGCCACCACCGTGGAGGAGCAGCGACCGCAACCGCCTCCCCTGACCACCAGGCAACCGATGACATGTACCAAGGGCCAGTGCACCCCCTCCATGCTGGTGGTCGGGACCTCCATGGTCCGACTCGTAAAGGTGCATGGTGGCCGGACCTTCTGCTTCCCTGGTGCCACCCGGTGCTGCAGGCTGGCACCAGCGTTAAAAAACAACAGTCTAAGCTCCTCAAACAGGTTTTTACCTCCCTAGTGGACCACCTGCTGCACACCGGTAAGCGTGTGGTAATCTCCGGCCTGCTACTGTCACCTCTTCATGGTGATGTCATTAGCAGCCATATTTGTCAGCTGCACCTGTGGCTGAAGGGCTACTGACTCAGAAGGAGCATCATTCTCATTTGTTGACAATTTTACTCCGTTTTTAAACAGGCCGTATCTCTTTAAGAGAGAGCACCCAAACCAGGAGGGATCATGGCTTTTATCAGTTAATATGGACCTGACCCTCCAATCCTGTACCACAGCCACCTCCTGACAAACTATCAACACCCTGCCCCCCTCCCCACACACACACACCCACACCTCAACACCAACAACCCAACATTCTCAATAAAAAAACAGGACACTCACACCATCAAAACCATTATCTCACACAGACAACCAAGACAAAGGACTGTTTTTAGACCCCCCAGTGTTTTTAATATCCCCCTTTTTTTAGAATGATGGGTGTTGGGTCAGCACAGACATTAAAATAGATGTGCTGAACATGCACTCTTTTAAATAAATCTTTTATCTTTTTTCATAAATGATTTAATTTTAGAAAAACAGCTCGACTGTATCCTTCTTACTGAGACATGGCTTGGCATTGATGCACCTATTGTTCTCACTTCGGCCTCCCCCACAAATTTTAACCTTTTATATTCTACGCGGGGGGCAAAGAAAGGAGGTGGAACTACATCTAAAATACGATCCACACTGTCCCCTTCTGCTGTTCCTTTTAACAGTTACTCATCATTTGAGTATCACGCCTTTGTTTTTAGCAGCCCTCCTATCCTCTGCATCACTGTCGACAGACCCCCACTACTCGTCTTCTTTTATTAGTGAACTCTTGAAAGTTTTATCAATCATCCACACCACCTACAACAGGATTTGAATGACTGGAGATTTTAATTTACACATTGACAACACCTCAGACCCAGTGTCTAGAGAATTTTTGAACCTTTTAAACGGCTTTGATTTTCAGCAGTATGTGACGCAGCCAACCCACAGCAGGGGGAAAACGCTGGACCTAGTCATAAGCTATGGCCTGTCCGTCGGTGTGCCCTCTGTTGCAGATCTGGCTGTGTCTGACCATTTCTGTGTGTTTTTTTAAATCAGAAGCTTTAACCAGCGCGGGAGCCCAGTCAGAACGGTGAGGAAATGCTACCTCAATTCTGAAGTGGCTGCAAATTTAATTCACATCTTACAGAACACTTCTTAACAAATTTTACCAACACCCTGTGATTTTATCATTGACAATTTTAAGAACAATCTAAGGTCAACACTGGACTCAGTTGCTCCACCTTTAACTAAAACAATTAAGGAAAAAAACATGACCCCCATGGAGAAATGAGCATATTACACAGCTCAAACGTAATTGCAGGAGTGCTGAAAGAAGATGGAGGAAATCCAAATTAACTGTCCATCTTGAAAGTTGTAAACAACACCTCAAAACCTTCAATTGCACAGTCAAACAGGCAAGAACTTCCCACTACAAAACACTATTTGCTGACAATAAACATAACCCCAGATTTCTTTTCATAACAATTGATCTTTAAACAAACAATAATTTTAACAGAACCCCTGGGTCATCCTCTGATACCCTCTGTGAGGATATGGGCAGACCACTTCAGAAGAAAAATCGACAACATCAGATCCAGTCTTTTATCTCAACAGATTTTAACTGCCAACATACCTGGATCATTGCTCTTACCCGAGGAAACACTACAGAGTTTTGCACTGGTTGATGCGCAGACTCTTGTGCTCTCTTCAGACAGGGGTCTTCCCCACCTCCTTTAAAACGGCACTGGTGAGGCCTCTTCTGAAGAAGAGCGATCTGGACCCCAAGCTTTTTAGAGGGGTGTTCAGACCAAACGCGACGTCGGCGACGGCTCCCAATGCAAAGTCTATGGCCAGCCACGACCTGACGCGACTTGGCGACCGCCGGCTGCCTGCGATGCGACCTGACGCGACCGGTCGCCAAGGCGCGTCGCCGAGGTCGCTCCCAAAGTTCAAATATTTGAACTTTGGGAGCGACTCCGTGCCGTGACAGCCAATCAGGGCTCTGCTGACGTCAACAAACCAGCGAAACAAGGAAGAGGAGAAGAAGAATCACAATGGAGGAGCAGTAAATCACATCCGTTAGCTACCACCCGGAGCTATACGACCTGGGTTGCGGGCTGTACCGGGACCGCAACGCCAAAGAAGAAGCATGGGGGAAGGTGGCCCGTGATGTCGGGCTTTCTGGTAAGCTTGTTTGTTTATTTATTTATTTCAGTGAGCGGACTGTTTTATGAAAACATAGCTAACTGCCCCTGCTTGCTAGGCTACATGTTTCAACGTATGTGTGTGTGTCTTTGCAGTGGATGTGTGCCGCAAGCGGTGGAAGGGGCTTAGGGACGTTTATATAAGGGACAGACAGATAGAGAGGCGTTCCGAAGCTGAGATGGAGCGCCTGTATTTCGTGTCCAGGCGGGAGATGCTGCTTCCCACCTGGGCGAGGAGGTTCTCGAACTGCGCCGTCGACACACGGAAATACCGCTGGAAGCGGCCGTCGTCCAGGCGGAGTTCCTGGAGCAAGTGGTAAAATTCACCCAGCTCCGTCCTCCTCCGGATGGTTTCATGCACCCATAAACGCCGGGGGCGTCTACTGCGGATGTACAGATATGCGGCAGCACTGATGAACTGAAAACTGAGCTAGTGACATGGATGACGTCACCGGCGACCAGCCGCGACCTGCGACTGCAGCTTTGGACCCGGTGTGAACACACCAGAGCACCCCGCGACGCGACGTGACCGACCAAAGCGACCAGGTCGCGTCGTGTTTGGTCTGAACGCCTCTTTAGTCAGTATGGATACATGTTCCTCATGAAAATTATGTGTGGGGTTCCCCAGGGGTCAATTTTAGGTCCAACTCTTTTTAATCTTTATATGCTTCCCCTGGGGGACATCATCAGGAGGTACGGCATCAGCTTCCACAGCTATGCTGATGATACGCAAATGTACATGACCGTGTCTCCTGATGATAGCGGGCCACTTGATGCCATTTTAAACTGCATTGCAGACATTAAGTCCTGGATGGCAGCCAACTTCCAGCAGCTCAACCAGGACAAAACAGAGATTTTAGTTATTGGTCCTGAAGGCCTGAGAGAGACACTTTTACCAAAACTACAAGATTTTTAAGTATCCAAATCTGTAAAAAAAAAAACAAAAAAAAAACCTGGGCATGATTTTTGACTCTGAGCTCAGTTTTATTCCACACATCAAAAACATAGCAAAGGTCGGTTTTTACCACCTTAAGAATATAGCCAGAGTCTGCCCGTTTCTCTCCCAGGCCAGAGCGGAGGCGCTGATGCATGCTTTTATCGCCTCTCGTTTAGATTATTGTAATGCCCTGCTCTCTGGCCTTCCCAAGAAGAATTTACATACCCTTCAATTATTACAAAATTCAGCTGCAAGAGTTCTGACGAGGGCCAGAGGGCGAGAGCATATAATGCCAGTTTTAGCAGTGCTGCATTGGCTGCCCTACTGTTTCAGGATTGATTTTAAGGTTCTTTTAGTAGTTTTTAAACGTATTAATGGTCTTGGCCCCTCTATTTATCTCTTACTTTTATCATATCAACCCTTGCGGACCTTGAGGTCCCCTGGCACAGGCCTTTTAACCTTACTCAAAGTCAAAACAAAAACACACAGGGAGGCGGCTTTCAGTATCTATGGTCCACGGTTGACGACCAGCCTGCCGGAGAGCCTCAGGGCCGCAGAGACAGTTGATGTTTTTAAGAAGAGGCTCAAGACTCACCTTTTTAACCAGGCTTTTTCTAATTGCCTCTTTATATTTCTCTTATTGCAAATGTTCATTTTAATCAAAGTTCTTATTGTTCATTTTATGTCATTTTATCTGTTCTTAATCTTTTTCTTAACTCCTGCCTTAGAGGTTTTTACTTCTTTTACCCCTTTTATATGGTAAAGAGCTCTTACTCATCTGTTCATTTAATATTATTTTCTTGTTTTAGTCCATCAGGTTTTACTCTTTCCTTTTACCATTTTGTATTTTTTATTTTTTATCTCCAGTGTTTCCCAAAGGTAGCTCTTTCCTCACGTAATGTCTTGGTGTCAGACCATGTCTCTTTAACAATCTATCTTACATTCTCACACTGTGAGTGCTTGTGTGTGTATGTGTGGGTGAGTGAGTGAGTGTGCGTGTGTGTCTTTGTGTGCGTGTGGGTCCATGGGTGGGTGTGTGGGTGGGAGGGTTGGGTTTCATTGCTATGAATTGTTGTTTTTAGCCTCTATGAGGGACTTTGAACTGCATTTCTTGTCTGAAAAGTGCCATAAAAATAAAGTTGAATTTGAATTTAATGCCAATGTAAATTTGACACTGTCAGAGAAGAAAAACAGGTAGAGAATATTTCAACTCAACTTATACAATGTACAGGAATACATAAATGGATATCACAGCTATGTTAAGATTTATACAGATGCATCAAAGAACACAGTTACCAAAGTAGGAGCCACATTTACTGTACCAGAGTTGCAGATCAAAGTGGGAGTGAGGGTTTATCAGTTTACACAGGGGAAATTATAGTAGTTTCATGAGCGACAGAGTGGATAGAAGAAACAAGACCATTAAGATTATCTATTTGCTCAGATTCCAGTTCATCCCTTTCCAGTCAACAGCACAACCATTCCGACAGCCAGCCTGTTATTTTGATAGAAATCAAACAGACACAGTACAGGATTCACATGATGGGAATGACAGTCATGTTTCTATGGGTACCTGCCAGTGGCGGCTGGTGAGAAAAATAGTAGGTGGGTTTGGAAAGCGTTTTCAAATGTAAATGAAGCATTCTGAGCAAATAATTAAGGAAACATACGATCTTGACCTACAAACACAAATGGGGTGGGGATACTGTATTTCAACATATTAACAGGGCATTATAGCCAGCACACAGCCTACCTACATTCAATGTAATCCTACGATATAGAAACTGACAGGAGCGCATACTTATGTACATTCACCTGCATCTCAGCAGGTTAGGCTACAGCAAAGAAGCACACAATGACAACTGCAGAAAACAAGTGAAGAGCAGACCCACATAAACAATTTGTTTATCATCATA